ACAACCTCCAGCACACCTTTTAATCAAACACAATTGTTACACAGGGATTTCTGGACACACACACATGACACCACAACACAACCAGTCCAGGAGTGGTTTTTAGCCTCAAATTCATGCAAGTCCAGCCTTTGCAAATTCAGAGTACCCGATCTAAGCTCATTGATTTTTCCATTTTCTGTTTCAAAGCATAGAGTGGGAGTGAAAAGGGTTATGACATGTGGAGGCATTGCTGGATTGCTTTGTGATGTTGCTGCAATTTGTGTGCAGTGGAAGGTAAATAACATGATGAAGTAATCAGATGAAAAGTGGGCTTTCATGCTGGCTGAGCATCTCCCAGACATCCCTCTAACAGGGCTCTGCTGATGCTCAGCCTGTCACCATCCAGCAAACACTAAATGGATTTGATTGGCTTTAATATATTTCCCCCTCAAATGGTTAAATGCTAATTATTTTTTTTGTTTCAGAATGACCAAAACTCTGTCCTGGAGGAATTATTGCCTCTGGTTTGTTGTTTCAGCAGAACTGTGTCTTCTGTCTACGACAAAAAGCAAGTGAGAGCTCTTGGGAGCTGGAGATTTTGTTCCAAGAGCTCCAACACTCTCATCCCCACTGCTATGAGCACATCATCACTGGGCAAGAGGAGGGAGGATGTGAGGATTAGAAAAATGCTGTTGAGAATAAGCATCAAGCAAAACCCTTGAGCACCACTTAGAAAATGTGAGAACGTGGTTGGAGCCCGAAAACTCCAAGGAGAAATCCTTGCTGGTCTGTAGCATTGTGGGGAGCTTTAAAACACGTGGTCTGGTGGCTCCACTGTGTGTCCTCCTGGGTGGTTCAGGGCAAAATGACTAATTCTAGGCATGGATTTAAATGTTTGTCATTGTTTCTCAGAATTCATGGTTAATAATGGGGGCCTGAGGTCTGAGAAAGCCACAATCGTGGCAACTTCTACCAGTGATGGGAGAAGAATTTGACTGGGAATCTGTTTTAAGATCCCTAGGCAACAAGATGCTTTCAATTAATACTGAATTTTCTGGGTTTATGCCCTGCATAATTATGACTTAGGTGCAAACATGATTCTTTTTCATGGTGGAGTACTTTTTTATTCTAGTTTGTTTAATTGCACGTCCCATTTTTCTTGCACACCTTTTAATGTCTCTGTTATAGATGTATATAAGAACTAAAAGAACAACTAACAGGCCTGGACAGGCTGTTTTCAGTGCAGCTACTTATGGGGATTTCCCTCAAGACCAGTTGTTTGCACACAGTTATTTTTGCTTAAAACTGAGGAAATAATTAAAACAAATCCCCTGCGTGCCTTGGGAGAAAATTCCGGTCGAAGCTGCATCGAAGCATTTTCTCTAACAGGTTTTTGTCTTTTTTTTTTTTTTTTTTTTTGAAGGCATAAAATGCCTTAAGAAAAATGCCTTGGGAAAAATTTCATCACTGAAAGAGTGGTCAGGCACTGGAACAGGCTGGAGTGGAGTCACCATCCCTGGAAGTGTTCAAAAACCGAGTAGATGTGGCATTTTGTGGCAGGGTTTAGTGGGAAGGGTGGGATTGGTTGGACTTGGTGATCTTGGAGGGGTTTTCCAACCTTGGTGATTCTGTGAGCTGTGTAAAAGCTGAAGGAAATCCGTGGCCTCACGTCTTTCTTCAGGCTGACTCTCTTGAGTAGTTCACAGAGACAAACTTCTCTGACTTGTTGACTTGTAGAGCTGGAGTTTTCTGGGTGACCTTGTGCTGGAGTTAATGCTGGACTCAGAGCAGGGAAAGCCCTGTGTGGGTGGCAGGTCATGACTCCAAACTCCACCCCAGATGAGGATCCCTGTGCCTGTGTCAGGCTCTGCCACCAAAACTTTTCAACAAAAGTTCCACATCAACAACTCCAGCTTGTGCAGAACACACTTCAGCTGTTCACAATGTGCTCCTTGCTGGGCAGCAAGAGACACAAAGGATTTATGGGGAGCTTTCAAGTTTATTTATGACAAAACAAACCTTCTGAAGGAAGCAGGGATGCCACAGGACTGCCAGCCCCTGCGTCCCACTCACGCATTTCCGTGCTCTCTCTCTGCTCTCTCTCCCTGATGCTGCCGCTCATTTTCAGCTCGTAACTTTAATAATCTATGCCACTGCTTTCTGAACAATATTCCTCCTGCAGCTTTCTTTTGACAGCTCTGTTTTTAATAGAGGATAAGCATGAAACTTCAGCTGAAGCCGGAGACATATTTCTAATCTCGCCCCGCATTTATTTTGCTTGGCGGAGAACTCGCTATCTTGAACAGAGCAAAAAGTGTTTCTCACATATTAAGTTGACACCTACAATAGGTTTTTGGAGGTATCATTAATTCAAACTCAAACTCAGAGCTAGTTACCTTGTAGTAAAAAGACAGATACACATAAACCCTGTTACTTGGATAATAGGCTTGATTCAATTCTTTATCGCGGGGTTTGCAATAATATGCCAAGAATTCCAGCCCAGGGAAGAGTCCCAGTTTGTAGGTATTGAATGGAAGTGTCATAACAACAACATGCCTGCCTGGATTTTAAGATATAGCCTGAAGTATTGGTTGAAACAAAGGAGAAAATTGGATGGCAACACGAAAACAAGAAACAAGGAAATGTTAACTGTGAAATAAGTGTTTCGAGGTAATTTGTTCCACTATTCTCATCAGGTCATTATGACATTTTCCATGTACTTGAGGTGTTTTTTTTTCCCTATTGTAAGACAACTTAAAACTCACAGTTTCACAGTGATGCTGCTAAATTGAGGCATTTTCCTGTAAGTTTGTGTTTGTCACTGTAAATAACAGGCTTTGATTTGTCTGTCCTCTCTCTTCTCTGTGGGAAAGGACATAAATATCTGTCACCACTAATGAAAAAGGAGTGTATTGCTTGATTGTGGGATATATTTAGCGTTGTAGGGTTGTTAAGAGCTGGAGGGTTGAAGCAGGATGGCTGCTGTGGGCAAACCAGCCCCAGCTTTGTTGTGACCTGCTCCCTGCAGAACTCTGGGAAGCGTCTTGGTGAGGTTTGAAGCCTAAATAAAGGATATTTAGGCCATTTGGATTGTTTTATTCTGGCATGAGACTTCCAGCTATTAGTGAGTTAAGTGTTTCAGAGGGAAAGGGCACCTGCACTGAGTGTTATTAAAGAACCAGTGTTTTAACAGCTGAAAATACTTAATCCCATCAAGAAAGTCCATTTTCTGGCAAACAGGGCCTTCAGCAGCCAAGTGGCATCAGCTGGGTCTGGTTGGGAGGAGCTTTGCCTCAGACAGGCCAGGAATCCAACATTATCCCCAGGAATGGGAGGTGAGGACTGGGCTCTGCAGAATCCCCTATCCATGGGAAGGTTCACATCCCTCTTTAGATCCTTGGAAAACTCAATCTCACACAGAAAGCTGGGAATTGTGGTGAACAGCTCCCCTTTTCTCTCCTAGGGAAACCTCTGAAGGATCCATTCCCAACCAATTCCCAAACCCAAAGTGCTCCCAGGAGTTTGAATCAGGGGTTGAATTTTCCAGGGAAAAAAAAAGATTAAATCATTGATTATTATGATATGCTGAACCATCATCAGAGCCTTCATTCTTTCACAGATACTCCTGGTTTTCCTTCCCCTCACCCTTTTTTAAAAGATATTTTATACCTCCTTTGTGCCTTCCTTTAGGGATATTCCTTTTCTTTAAGTCTTTTCCCAGCTCCATTCCTGTCCTGGTTCTGTTGGGGATTACAGACTCCACAGACAATTTTGAGGTGGCCACCTATCATTGCTTCATTCAAAAATGGGATTTGTTCTGTCACTAAACAATTTTCACCTCCAAATATCCTGCAATAATTTCCCACACAGGAAGTTTGGCTCAAAAAGATGTTTCACAAAAAAAAGTGGGAAAATAATGAGTCATTTTTTTTTTAATTTTTTTTTTTTTTTTACATTTGACCAGCTCTGGGAAAATCAAAGCTCTTTGAGAAATTCAGGGTAAAACATTATTAAATGAGGTACTGGTGATACACCCTTTGATCAGCTCTGCTGAAAGAGAGTCTGTGAACCAGCCTGACCTCCACTGTCTCCTTTGGATAACCCTGTGACACGAGGTTTGCTGGGAGAAATGGAACAAGATTAATAATTAATACGTTTGCTGGTGTCTGAAGCAGCGACACGAAGTTGGCTTTAGACACATGTTTTATTAATGAGATTTGAAAACAATTGCAACAGACTGCTCAGAGCTTTAGACTGGGGAAAAAAAAAAAAAGAAAAAGGGAATATCTGGGATTTTTTTTGGTTGTTGCTGTTGTTCCCCTTCCTCCCCAGGGCATCGACAGAACTCGGTCGCTGCCTATAAACGTCGTGGAAAAAAAGATTGTGAAGTTGTGAAACGGGGAACAAAGATAAAATCAATTCAAAATCATCTCGAGGCACAACGTGCTCGACCTGACGGGGCCGAAATGTGAAATATTTCAGAGCTGATTTTTCAGAGCTGAAAGATGAGATGTTTCAGAGCGTGGCCCCCACAGTTTTACACACTGGGGAAGGAAAAAGAGGGTTTCTCTGTTAATATAACCAACTATCACTGTAGCAATTAGAGGGACAATGTTTTAATGCCTCAATTACACCTCGTTAACTATAAAAAACTCAAAACCTAATTTTTGCAGCATTTCCCCCCCCACCAGCTGTAACCACCTGCAGGATGACAATAAACCCACTGTCCCAAAGAGTGGGAACACCTTTATTAAGTGAGAATAATTGTGCTCATCTTTCTTGACCTTTCAATTTTCAGATTTTTTATTCCTGTTCCTGAGGAAAGCAACCATCAGATGTCTGGTTTTGTTATTAATATTTACCAGGAATGTTGGGGTTTTTTTTGGAAAAAACAGTGCTGAAGTCAGTGAAACCTTTTGAACAGAGTCACCCATGATATTTTAATTACCCAATAAATTACCGTCCATGTGCAGAATTAATAGGAAAATAATGCTCTAATAAATATGAGCTTCCCAACTTACATGCAAATTGAAGCTTTGCCTTCCTGCTCAGAATTGTTCCAAATGAATTTGTGGCCAAACACTGGTATGTTCCAATATCCTGATTTTTATGTGGGTTATTGATTGCCAAGCTGCCTCCAACCAACCTGTAGTGATAACTCATGGTAAGATCAATATCTGTGCCATTTTGCTTCCACCTTTGAGGGGAAAAAAATCAAATTATGCTTATAATTTACAGAGCCTATTCATATTTATCTTAAATAGTGTGCTGTAGCATACCTGTAATGATAAAAATGGAGTTAAATATCACAAAATTATATCATTTTTCACACCAGACTGCTCCTTACATCAATCTTAATGATAGCAATAATTGTATTCCTTGGAAAATCTTTACTGTTAGTCACCAGTGTTCACCCAAATGTCCAAAAAAGTAATTATAACTTATTCATACAAACTAAGTTATCCATCCAGTTGGGAGGGAGATTATACCTTGACTACAACTATAATTCCTTTTTTTATAGTATGAATGTGCTTTGCAGTCCTTGCAGCTGATAAATCATAAAGTTGGCTCCAAAAATGATCTGGAGATAGAGATCAGGAAGGGTTTCACTTCAGAGGGCGCAACAAAAGCCGAGAGAGAAGTTTTTATGATAATTTAATGATGAGAACGCTGCTATTTTAAGACCTAATTTGCCCCTTAGTCCACTAAGCAGAAAATGGATTGTGTCTGCAACATTACACAGCTGCTTGCAGACGTCAAAATAAAACCTGTGTTTCAAAGAAAATATATATTTCAAGAAGGGGGATTTTGTGGCTTTACCGTTATCACATTAGGGCTGAATTTTCGTTGCCCACACGAGGTCCAAAGGAAGAATAAAGGAGTCAACCACTGATATCTGCAAGTTTGGGGGTTGTTAAGATTGCCACAACCCTAAGACTACACAAATATGGATTTTTTTTCCTGGTTTTATACATCTGTATCATTCCTTTTGACTCCATGGGTGTGATGCCAACCCCTCCTTAGGATGAAAACACCCCACGAGAGTTGCCAGTGGCTCACTTTGGGTTTATGGCAGTGCCCAAACCCAGGGCAATCAACCCTTAGTTAATCACCTGAAGGATCACAGCATAAAAATTGTCTATTTTTGGCTATTTGCAGAGTTCCTGACAGCGGTGGCAGCTTCCCCAGGTAACACATTGAAGGAAACCTTCTTCATTTCTCTGGGTCTCCCAGTCACTGCCTCCCCTTCCATGAGTTCATCAGCACTGAGAAACTTAGATGGAACAGTTGAGCAGCAGAAATTTGATTTTTGATGTTTTTGTGTCTCTGCTTTATTTTTTTTTTTATGTTTTGCTGTAGTTGGTTTTAAGGTATTTTGGGTTTTTTTATTTATTTCAAAGATGAGGAAAATCTCATCAGGTGCTCACCCATGAGCGTGTTCTCTGTCCCAGCCTCAGGATTTTGCCACATTTCAGGATTTCCATATGTTCCATGCTGCCTAAAGCTTCCCATTTTCTAATCTGAGAGATTCTGGTATTTAGTTTGCCAGTTCTCTTTAATTTCAGAATCAATCACTGAAATAACTGCTGTCATCATTACATGGCTCCCAATTAAGATCTATAATTGTTTTTCCAAACAAATGCAAAGACATTGGCTTGGTTGCTGCAAATGAATTCTTCACAGTATCCCCGTAATCAGTTTAATCACCACGGTACAATGATTATTAAACTTTGCATATAGATCAGGGGTTCATCTCCTGGTGTGGGCTTTTTCCTAATTAATATGTTTACATCACCGAAGGAAGGGAATTAATGAATTCATGGGGTAGGCAATGATTTAATGACTCTGTGTGTTTTGCAGTTTACTAATACACAGAATTCTTTGAAGAATTGTTTTAGGGATATTTTAGTAAAACTCTCTTAAGGCAGGGATCACTTCCATATTTTCTCAAAGTTCTTCATGCAGCCATTGGAAAATACTTCCATCAGTTATAGGAAATGCATCCAGACCAATTGTTTTAGAACCTGAATTTAAAAAATATTCTATATTCTGATGCTGAATTCATCAGTTCCCAAGGAACACGAGGAATGTGAGTGGATATATGCTTACATGATTTAATAAATTATCTTTTCAGTGTACTATAATAAAAATAGCATTATTTTTAAGATTTCATTGCCTTCTGTGTTTCTTAGATTATTTGCATTCAAATGAAACTGTCCTGCCAAGTCACCTGAGGCTTTCTGGTAATTGGGGAAAAGATTTGCAAACACCCCCTTAACATACAACATTTCCATTGAGGAAGAAAATAGAAGTTTAAAAACTATTGACTGTGAACAAAACAGAGGCGGAAGGAGTTTTTAATTCTACCCCATTTTTGAGGCAGAACCTGCAATAAGCCAAGAAATTTCAGGGAACATGAGACACCAGAGCAGGGCTGCAATTTGTTTCTCAAGGCTATGAATAAGACAACTATATTTTGGAATTGTTGGGAATCATTCTACAGTTTTATGCAGTGCTTATAAACATATGTGATATTTGCAATCACTGTAGACCTTCTCAAATACACACGTGCTGTGCTTTCATTTTCCCATTTTTTCCCGTGGATTCAGAATTAATTTTTTATATATCAAAATACTTTGGGGATGATTTTCAACGATGTGTTGTTTTTTTTTTCCCTGGGAGAATTTTAGCAGCAGACCAGAAAAAAATGTGGGTTTTTTTTCCCTAAATTTACTTCATCCACAAACACTCCTGCTGTGAGTGCTCCATGCATTTGATGGGATGTAAAACTCTTTACTCCTGATTAAAACCCAGCTCAAAGATTTCCAGGGAGACAAGACTTTCCCAGGGTTGACTTCACCTGTAGTGTGGGGGTGGATATCCTTCAGCTGTGCAGTTCAGCAGGATCTCTGGATTTGCTGAGCCCATGGAATAAGTGATATCATGTGGCTCTTGGATAAAAATAGGACCATGAAGGGTTTCTTCCCCTGCGAAAGAAAAACAATAATTTAAGATTAGATGTCTTCAGCGTGTCCTTACACATAAAATTGTCCTTTGGAGTCCTTTGCTCTCAGTCACAAGTGAAGGTCTGCTCTGATATTCAGCTGAGGATCCACCTCCAGACATTTGACTATTAAGGAGGAAATATTTCAAGGCTGATTGATAATAAAATCACAGATCCCTGGTGCTGGTGATTTATTTTGCAGGTGACAGTGAAGATTGGCTCCTCTGCATATTTCCTATGGAAATTATAAGGCCAACTATTAAACATCCCCAGCTACCTCATGGTTGTTCTTTAGACAACAACTGGCAGCAGGAAGGGATGGAATTGGGGTTTCAGTGTTTGGTGCTCCCTGGTCACATCACAGCCTAATGGAATCAACCACCTCCTTCTCCTCCAACCCTTCACACCCTTTAATATATTATTTTATATACTTTAAACAGCCTGGCTTCAGTGTTTGGTTTGGGTTTGTTCATTGGGTTTTTATTTAGTTGGTTTTTTGTTTGTTTGCTTATTGGATTTGGGGCTTTCCCCCCCTTCCCCCTCCTTTTTGGGTCCTTTAAAAAAAATAAGTGGCATGAAATAATCAACCTTCATTTCCTACTTGCGAAATGAAATGATGGATTGTAAAGCAGACCTGAATTATTTCTATTTTTCATGGTGGTCTTTCTTGGTGTCGGGAGTAGGGGAGAAGACCATTTGTTCAGCAAGCTGGAGGACAAAGGAGAGCAGCTCTCTATGGTTAAATGAGTTTTTGAGGTTTTTTTCTGGCTATTCTCCTGGTTTTAATCCCTTGACAAATTTGAAGACTTCCTTTTTCAGTGATTCTACAACTGACCCTTTGACTTGTCTTTGCTTCAGGAGGAATTTTCTTCCCTTCTGGGTTAATTTCCTGAGTCCTCGTTACCTTCCCAGACCTGCCAGTGAAAAGCTTTTGTGAAGCATCCAAATGACCCAGAGATGATTATTCCACATTTTAAATCAATGTAGCTGGGTGGGCCAGGGCTGAGGTACCTGATGTACATAAAAATCCCTGCTTGACCTCATAAAAATGTAAATATTTTGGTAAATCTGGAATTAATTTCCCATGTTTAGTTCTAAATGGAATTTTGACTCATTTATCACTTGTAGACTATTGAAGATCTTAATTCTTGTATCCCCTTTCCATGTCCTTAATACAGGACATCCTTCATGTGTGAAAAAGGACAAAATATTTTGCATGTGCTCAAACAGCTCCTTTCCAGTGTCACAGTCCCCATCACAAAAATCCTCTCCATGAATTTTAGTAAAGGCACCTTCTTGCTATCAGTTTGTTTTCTCTTTAATATCCTTTTCTTGCAGCAGAGAATAACACCAAATTTGTGAGGAATGATGTGCACTTTCAGAGCCAGTGGTGTCCTAGGAGTCCATCTCTTTGTGGAAAAGGTCAGGCTGGTCATTTCTAATTTCCTGACACATCCTTTTGTGCTTCCTAGAGAGAATGGCCCCATATTTCTGCCCCATTCTCCAGATTCAATACAGTCCCCATGATTTCTCTAGAGCTATATATGACAAATGAATCTTTGTAGGGTTGTTTATTTTTTTTCAAGATTTAAATAATTCAGATTTTTTTTTAATCTCTTGGAATATTTTACGAAATGTCTCATTTTTAGACATAAAAATCGTGTGAATCCTCAGCGTGGTGCTGGAAAGCAAACATAAACTCTTGTTATGAGATGTTTTATAAGAAGTTAAACTGTATTTCTTTATGATACCAAATCAGTTTGATCTCCATAAAGACCATAATTATGCCAGCCTGAATTCAAATGTAAAGGATGAAAATGAATCAACATTCCTCCATTCATTACACGATGTTGTTTTCAGCCAATGCAGAGATTAACACGGCGCCAATGGAAGAGGAGGATCCCAGTTTTTTCCATAATTATCCATCAGCAGGGGGGATGACAGTGCTTCCCTTTCACTGCTTTGTGGGCAGTGGTGAGTTATATCAGGCTGTGATATTCGAGTCAAATGTACTCAAAGAGGTTTTAGTTAGTCACAATAAATATTGAAATGTTTATCCACCGTCTCATCCAGACGAGGAGAAAAAAAGGCAAGATTCATATTCAATCAACTTAATTTCCAGCCAGATCTTTTTCCCTGTTCTTTCCTGTTGTCCACTTCTGGTTGGCTTCAGATTCAGCTCCTTCTGAGGTTTCTGCCCAGCTGGAGATGCAAAGAAACGCAGCCTGAGAGCAATTTAGGCTGGCCCAGGCCCAGGCTCAGGGTGTGTATAGATAACTCAGGGGAACAATATTATAAACCAGCTGACTTTCATCCCTTTCCTACCGCAGACCTTCCTTCCTATTCTGATTTTTTGCAAGATGGAGTTTTAATTACATTACCCAAACGGATCAGAGACATTTGGTTTGGTGAAGCTGAGAGTGTCCTGTACCAACATTCTCCGTTTGAAGAGGAAGATTTTAGGTTTGTCTGGGTGAACCAGCTCCAAGAGGCCAAACTGAAGAGGATTCATTGCTCCAGGACCAGAAAAGGACAGATCTGTTGGGCTGACAGCTCCAAAGTCTGCAATATTTGCAGCTTCTGTGACCATTTCTCTTGCCATGGAGCTGTGGATGTTTGGATGATGTTTTGTGGAAGTGATGAGCCCTTGGGGGTGTAGAACAATTTAGATCTTGCATTGGAGAATCCCAAATTTGTGGTGCTTGGGAAGGTGAAGATTGTGAAGGTGGGGAGGCCCTGGCACAGGATCCCAGAGGAGCTGTGGCTGCCCCTGGATCCCTGGAAGTGTCCAAGGCCAGGTTGGAGCAACCTGGGCTAGTGGAAGGTGTCCCTGCCCATGGAACTGGATGATCTTTAAGGCCACTCCCAACCCAAACCATTCCATGATTCTCCATGTACTGTATCAGTGAATCCTCATGGAAGATCACAAGGATAAGGAGACCAGAATAACAGTAAGATCCCAGCTCTAAAAAGCTTCTAAATGCAAAACTCCTGTAATTCATATAAGCATACCAGATAAGGAGGAATTTATCCAGGCTATTAAGTTCCAGGAAGGCTGTAAATTCCAGGGGTAGTGAGTTTCTAATGAATCTTTCTTAATGTGCCTTAGACAGAGCCTCATATCTGATCCAAAACATTAATATGACTTTATGGGCCAAAGCTGACACCTGATTAAGAGGCCTCTTTTAAATCAGCTGGATAGTAAAACACCTGTCAGTTCTAACAAAAAGGATGGGACAGGTGAGTTAGACACCTCCTACTCCTCATGACAGCAGAAAAATTATGAAAAATCCAAATTCCTTCAAAATCTGTTTTATTTTCTTCACACCTGAAGTTATTGATAATTTCTAATTGGAAGAGGGGAAGTTTATAGGGTTGATGTCATAGATATCCCATGCATATCCCTGCAGATAACACTGAGGCTTTGATTGAATCTTGTCAAGAACAGAACAGGATGATTGTTTCCCTCATCAAAGGCCTGGACTGGGGAGCTCAAGGACTTTAAAAGGAGCATGAGAGATGTAAAAGGAGAGGCAGTGGATGAGACACTGAGTAAAGTAACAGAAGACAGCTCAAGGAATCAGATATTAAGGCTGAAAAAGAAATGGGAAAAGAAGCAGCAGAAAAAGGCCACGAAAGTGTTCTGTGAAAAGGAAAACAACTTGTCAGTGGAACAGGAGCAGGAGACAGGCTCCCCTCCTCTCCCTCTCACTGACAACCAGCTCAGAGAGTGAAGCAGGAGACACACAAAGAAAGGGAGATGAGATGATACAGGTTTGAGCAGAAGCAACCTCAAACCTGTAGGATTTCCCCAAAGGGCCTTGGGCTTTGCTGTGTTTTCTCCCTGCAGACATTGATGTGCAGAGCTCCAGAGCCACGGGGCTCCTTTCAAGTTGCAGCTTCTGTTGGAAGAGTCAAATTGGCTGTGGTGGTGAAATTCCACGTTGTGTCTGTTATCAGGCACCAAACCCAGGGAGACACCTCTCTGCCTGTGATGTGGGGAGAAGGGGAGGCACTGAGGAGGGGCAGGGGTTGAAGTCCTGGCACTGCTGAAGTCAGAGAAACTCAGTAATGAATTGGATTTTGGTGCTCAAACCCAAGGTTTCTCTATGAAATGGTATAAAGTGACAGCCAGCAGTGCAAGGCTCCCCTTTCAGAGAATCAGAGAACCATTAAAGCTGGAAAATACCTCTAAATCATCAAATCCAACCCTCCACTGCATTCACAAGTCCTCAACTTCCACATCCACATGGATTTTGAACACTTCCAGTGATGGTGACTCCACCCCTGCCTCGGGAAACCTGTTCCAATCCTTTCCAACACTTTGCATGAAAAAATTTCTCCTAATATCTAATCTAAAACTCCCCTGGTGCAATTTAAAGCCATTTCATCTGGACCTCAGAGGGCTGATGGTACCCCTTCCTTGAGATTTGAAAAATAAGAAGACCAGAAATATTTAGGACTCTTCCAGCCCTGGTAAAAGGCACAGAAATTTTAAATGTTTTCACTGAAAAAGATTCTGTATCCTCTCAGTTTTATTCCTTGAGAAATTAGTCAGATATCCCAATATTTTTTCCTGTTATTCAAACAGAATCTGTGTGTGGTGCAGGTTCTGTGGCAAACAACCTGCTCAGGTTATGAACTGACTGCACAACTTCCTGAAGTGCTTGAATGGGAAAACAAACAATAAAACTATAAAATATGACTTTAATTACTTACATAACCAGCCATTGTCAGACTATAGCATATAAAATTAGGGTGTAATATATCACAGGTAATAATTAAGGAAGTATTATGCAAAAAACTACCACATTCTTGAGAATTATGAGCCTTTTTCAATTAAATATGTGGAGTGACAAAAGATTTTGTCAAAATCTGATGTTTCCAACATATTTTAACTGTTCTATTATGATAAGCACTATTGCTTCAATACTTTCTGTGAATATAATTGGGTATCAGGGAATTTATCACCCATCTAACAGA